TACTTGATGGTGATAACGTTCGGCATGGTCTCAATCGTGATCTTAGCTTTAAAGCAGAAGATCGAGCAGAGAACATTAGAAGGATCGGTATGTTTACTGGTTGGTCTATGATATGAACATAGCTGTAAGAAATTTTGCTTGTCATTGTCTCAGAAGTTAGATCTGATGCCTTACTTTACGTTTTAATTAATCATGTCTAGGTGAAGTTGCAAAGCTCTTTGCTGATGCTGGAGTTATTTGCATCGCCAGTTTGATATCTCCCTACAGAAAGGACCGAGATGCCTGTCGCGCTTTGCTGCCAGATGGGGCTTTCATTGAGGTTAGAGTCTATGCTTGTGGAACTTTTGAGTGTGGTGTGAGAAATTGGTCTCATGACAAGCCAGGTTATTGCTTATCAGATATAACACACTGAAACTGACAAAGATAGTGATTTTGCAGGTCTTCATGGATGTGCCTCTGCAAGTTTGTGAGGCAAGGGACCCTAAGGGCTTGTACAAACTTGCACGAGCTGGAAAAATTAAAGGTACTTGACCAAAGACTTCTTGATGTTAATTGTAATGAGCCTTGATGAGGAGTGTTCCTTTCTTATCTTTTTGCTCATCAGATTTCTTTTTTGTCATTTTTTCTTTTGTGGGTTGGGTGAGTGCTGAGAGTGATTTTGTTTCTTTTTGGTGTGAAATTTAGTAGAACAAAGATTGGCCATCCTCAAGTATATTTCTCCTGGCAATCACCTTTAACTGTTTTTTGGGCATAACTTCTTGTGATTAGTTGTAGAAGGTGTACAGATGCTGGATTTCCAAGCTGATATTTGTCTCAACGAGTTCAATACAATGTTTTCTGTTTTCTTTTGTCGATTTTTTAGACTTTCTGATATTTCATCCTTCAGATGTTGGTTGAAGTTTCTTAATGCCAAAAACCAAGATAGAATTATCCATGGATCCTCATCTAGTTGTAGTCCTTTTTATTATTAATTTTTTTTTGTGTAATCAAACAATAACAGCTTTCACTCATAATTCAAATATTTATATAATATGAGCAACTGCTCTCATGTCTTCTTTGGCCAGACTCGTTAACCAAAGAGGAAAGGAATCTTTCCACTCAATTTCTTTACTCAAGTTAATGGCAAATTTTGCCAATCCGTGACTCACAAAGTTACCCTCTCTTAGTGAAAGAAAAGCAACAATTACAAAAACCGTCTCTCATCTGTTGGATGTCCTCAAGTATGGTTCCAATTTGGGGTCCTCCTGTTTTTCCCTCGTTAATTTTGTCAATTAGGTTTTTGCAGTCGGATTGAAAGCACACCATTTGCTGGTTCTTCCCTGGCCTTGATAAGTGCAAGCCTGATTGCTAAGGCTTTCCTCCACAATGGGGTCATAGTATCTTTCCTCAGGTCCAGCCCAAGTCACCTATAGTTTCCCTTCATTCATGATTCCAAGCTGGAATCCCCCGTCCAGACCTGTTCTTCTTTACTTGTAGTGCTGCATCAGTGTTCATCATCACTGTCCCCTCCAATGGAGGTTTCCATAGTACTTCCCTGGTTGCACAACATGCCTTGTGCTCTGCTAAATCTTCTACATTTTTCTGTACTTGGTCATATTCATTCCATTCTCCAATTGATTTGTTGATTGACGTGACTGGATTCTTTCTTTCATTTCTAAACTGGATTGCATTCCTAGATCTCCAAATCTGCCGGAGCAAATTAACTATTAGATTCATATGATCCTGGTTGCATCTCTTTTTTGCTGCATCCATAACCCTTCCCCAGAGCCAAAAATTATGTTCAGGCCATCCCAACTGAGAGGGGCACCCTTCCACTTTGTAGTCAGATTGTTCGAATAGCCATTTATCTATTTGTGTAATTCTCTGTTTTGTAGGCTTCACAGGGATTGATGACCCATACGAGCCGCCACTTAATTCAGAGGTACGTTTCTGCTTTAGTGGGTCACAAGTGTCATCCAAAATGCAGTAGTGTGCTCTCCTCTTCGAGAATGAACGTAAATATGTCCTGTTTGCAACCATTTTAAAATTTACTGGCATATGAACTGTGCAAGTACCTCGACCTTAAAATACCTATAACTATTTCTTGTCTAGGATTCTGGCCTGTTATTTGTTCATCCTTTCTGGTGCTGCGCACTTTCAGGACTTGATTTGGTGTTCATGGCATACTTTCATGATTGCAGATAGCGTTACACCAGAAGGTTGGGCTATGTGATTCTCCACATGATTTGGCTGAAACAGTGATCTCATACTTGGAGGAAAAAGGATACCTGGAGCCATAATTTGCATATGCCTGCCTCTTCAATGGACATTGAGGCACCGACTGCTGTACATTTCAAAATAATAATAAGCTTCATGTAAAGGAAACTGCTCGTTTCCTTTGTGCACAATTTGTCATGTATCCTGTAAATTTATTACTTCCATTGATTTGAATGTAAACCGTTCGTAGACTCTTTTTTTAAAAGAATGTATTGCGACTTTTAGTAGCTTGATTGCCATGAAGGAGCTCTGGGAACCAAAACCACCTGAATTGATTTGACGCAGGTTGAAGGTGATAAGTGCGAGCATAATTACGTAAAAAGAAAACCTTTGAAGGTAAACACCTCACTAATTTATGGACAGTCATATACATATCCTCACTCACATAATACTCCATTATAGAAATTACTTCTTGTATTAAATCTACTACCCAACCCAACTAGCATAATCTACATATATATATATATATATATATATATAGAAGTTGACCTTTGACAAAAAAAAAAAAAAACTAGCATAATCTACATGCTGGGGAATTCCCAAAAAAAAAAAAATAATAATAATTGGTCTCTTTCCCTCTTATTATTGAAAATTTCCGGAGTTACATTCGATATCCAAAGTCAATAATGAGAATGAAGAGACTCTTCCATCTCTCTGAGGCTCTTCATTCTCATTTTCCACTTATTATTTCGCACGGAATAACATCAACCGAATGGTATTAATTTTTAAAGAAGAGGGACACCCAGTTCACTTCCTCTCCGATAGGCCATTGAGAAGCAGACCATTAGAGCCGCCGTGAAGGACCTGGCGACGGCTGCAACTCCCTCGTAAACCACAGCAAAACGCAGTTCCTGAAGGCCCCAGATTATCGAAATGCACCGTCCCAAAGCGCCAACCACCCCTGCCAACAATAATATTGCCATCCGAGGCAGAGTCCGTAATTTAAGAGCTTCTCTTCTCTACTTCCGATTCTATGATAGTAACTGATTCGGATGAAGGTTAGTCTGAGAAGTGCGAAAGATTGTACTACTACTACTACTTAAACAGAAAAAAAGGAAAAAAGGTGGTGCGGTGTTCCGTGTTCGCTTAAAGAGAGAAAAGACAGAGAGTTGGGTTCATTTGTAGTTGGAGGAACTGGGAAGTTTGCCACCCAACTTTTTTAATCTGCATCAATGTCCACTTTCCTAGAGAATCACGTCATTAATGATAAATCACAAATTAATTAGACATAAAAAAAAAAAAAAAAATTAGACATAGCAACTTGCTATCTTTAGAACTAGAAATTTACTACTATGAAGACGGGGAGGAATTGGTTCTGCTTACCCACTTTTGATGCTGCTAATTAATTGCACCGGTGGCTTTCTGGGCTTTTACTTTTACCAAAAGGGTTAATTACATTAGCCTCCCTTATGGTTTTGCCAAACTGCCGTTGCACCCCTCTAGGTTTGAAATTTTACATTCAACCCCTCAAACTTGATGGATGCTAAATGATGTCAAAGAGGATCCTATTATGACATTAATGCCCAGCACATGACAAGAAAATACCAAAAAAAAAGGGTAAAACAAAGAGCAAAGGTAATTTGGGGAGGAAGGATCGCTGAAAGACGACATTGCAATTTAATTTATTTACTCATTTTTTTTCTTTATTGGCTTGATAAAAGGTAAAAGCTAGGGTTGTTTTGGGAACTTTATGTTACCATTTGGCCTTGCTTGTTGTGTGCACGCTACTCTCTTTAACGGGTTGGGGTTGATTGTTATTAGACTATCAAGTCAAATTGAGGTGGATGTAATATTTCAAACCTCAAGAGGTGTAATGGTAGTTTAGTCAAACCATAAGGGAGGCAAATGTAATTAATTCATACCAAAACGAGGAGCGGTGCGAGCTTTTAGTTTTAGCATGGGTAATTTTATTTCCTGGGAATTTGCTTCTAAAAAATGCCTGGGGACGTAGAATGCCGAGCTTCGCGTGATACTCTGATACAAATTACCATCGACTGGTGGAGATGAGCGAACAGTACTGATCTCTAGGCCAGACAGATTGCCTTGTTTGGATTATGATTTTGTACCGAAATTTTTTTATGTTTCTCAAGAACATTAATTTTTTAATTACTTTTTACACTGCTATTTTTTGACAAAAATTTTTAAAAATAGCAATAGAAACGAAACGGCATTGAATTTTGTATGATAAATGAACTCCGAAATGAGATGATTTAAAGTCAATATTGATTACCAGCCGGTCAATTACAATCACTTCCCAGCGTCCCACAACTCTTTCTTGAGCCATCGCGGAGAGAAGGAAGTTGGGGTTAAAAAATAATAAATAATAAAAAAAGGGGCGAGGGAGAGACCTGCGGGGAGGAATGAAAAAGGAAAACGGAGCACCGCCTTGGCAATTGGATTTTGTAGTTCCGGGTCTGAAGTTGGATATCATACGAGCAGCGGGAGGTTCATAATTTGTAAGTTGATGTTTGCAAGGAGCCCCAGAATCTTTACACGATCCGCATAAAACTCAATCCAGAAACCGCGCTTTCTCGTCTGAGGAAGCACCTCACCTCTAACTCTCTAAGTAGGAGTGGTAATTAGAGTAATAAAAAAAAAAAAAAAACCCTAATCCCTTCGGGAAGGAATCAGGTCTGCTGCAGTTGAATTCAGCTCAACCTCGGCTGAATACAAGTTGGACGATGGGGAAGAAACAGCACAGCAAAGATCGGTTGTTCCTAACGAAGACGGAATGGGCAACGGAGTGGGGAGGTGCAAAATCCAAAGAAATTCGCACGCCTTTCAAACGCCTCCCTTTCTATTGCTGCGCGTCCGTACTTTTTCTAATTTCCATTCATACTCCTCACCTGTTTTTTCTTTCTGGCTAAATCATTTGTTGGATTTTAATCGCAGTCTTACGTTCACCCCATTCGAGGATCCGGTTTGCACCAAAGACGGCAACGTCTTCGACATCATGTGAGCATTTTGTCTTTCACTATATTAATTCGGTCGTGACTCTTTTCTCTCTTTCTCTCTCTACTTGAATACGTAACTTTTTTTATTTAAGCTTGTCAATTTCAATAAGGGAATGTGGCTTTTGATGTTTTCGTTAGGAACATAATTCCTTACATTAGGAAGTTTGGGAAGAATCCAGTTAACGGGGCTCCGCTCAAGCCAGAGGACTTAATTCCACTTACTTTCCATAAGAATGCTGAAGGTGAATATATTTTCTTCAGCTGTCTTGGTATTGAGTTTTCCTCCTAATATTTTGAATAAGATGTTTAATTGCACCTGGATTGATTACTCAGTGCTGAACATCGTGACCGTGTTAATGTTTATATCTGTGATGATGAAACTTCATTTTTAGCTAAAAAAAAATACATATAGAAACTCTCCAGCAACCGTCATTGAGGACTTCAAGTTTTTCTACGTGAACTAAAGCAATTTTCAAAACTTATTGACCTTTGCTGTTGTTTAGTTAAAAGTCATCCCTTGTGTTTCTTATGGTGTAGGCATGTAGCTGATAATTTTCATTTTTCTGTACTATCATTTTTTTCTTTGGGTCATTTTCTCTTTTGGTGCATATATTTCATATACTTTGGGTGATTTTTTTTTTCTGTACATACAATCTGTGATTTAAACTGATTCACAGTGCAGTTGATACAAATCTCTTTCTTTGTCAAGAAACTGGTAGTAATGCATAAATTACTCTCATTGGTACTGGGTTTTGTATTTCTTTCAGCATGTTGATAACAGTGATTTACTAGTTGTCTTCAGTTAGTGTAGGCTAATACAGTGAGAGCTCTTCTGATATGGAAAACTACTAGTGCTAGTCCATGAAGTGGAGAGGAAGCAAGCTAGGATGATATTTTCCCTGTGCGATTTTGCTGAAGTTCAGGATATTGACTTCTCCTTTGCGTTATTGTTCTTATTTTAAGTTTTTATGAATTTCTGAATTACAAACTGATTGGTAGCCAGATTTTACGTTTTTGGGCAGTAAATTGAATCATTCAGTTATTTGCATCCTTTGTTCCTTATTATATTGACCCGAAAGTAGTTTACTATGCATGGTTCAGGATCTGTGTTTTATTCTGTTTTTGTCCACAAAACTGGAGTTAAGCCATGGAGTGGATTTATCAACTAATGGCAGGAGAGTGATTGGTATATCACTCAGTGGATGTTGTATGAAGGGGCAAGAAGTGTGAAGATGTCTCAAACTTTTTATTCTATTTTATTTTATTTCTAAAACTGTTTTCTGTACAGCAGTGACATAACCTGACAGTGCTATTGGTTGTAAACAAATAACGTATATAATCATGAAAAATCATGCTTGTCCAAGGACCAGATGTTTTGTGGCGCTTAAGATATACGCATAGTTTGTATACTATGAACTTTTCTCGCTGTAGTTGTATCCTGACGAATCTTTGTTCTTATTATCGCTGGTTCTCCATTATTACTTGTGCACCACCATTTCACCTAAACTTCTCATGTTCCATTTGGTATGGACAGGTAAATGCACCTGCATGATATGATAGCCATCTTTTAGCATGAAGTTTCTCAGTCTTTGCTCATCTGGTATAGCAATGCAGGCGTTTAATGCCACATATAGTGTTATCCATTATTGTGTTTATGCAGGCGAATATCATTGTCCGGTGCTGAATAAGGTTTTTACAGAGTTCACACACATAGTTGCAGTGAAGACTACTGGGAATGTGTTCTGTTATGAGGTACTTTTTTTTGTACTACATTTTCTGTTTCCTGATGTTAATCCCCTGTTGTCTTGGCACAAATTTACCATAAGATATTTTGTAGGCTATTAAAGAACTAAACCTTAAAACCAAGAACTGGAAGGAGCTCCTTACAGATGAACCATTCACTAGGGAAGACCTAATAACTATACAAGTAAGTTCCAATATAAGTCTCCTGCTTGGCAGTGATGTGCAGTTAATTTAGACATTTGGCAGTGTGATTGTAATACAGTTATCCTGATTTGTTTGATTGTCTGCTATAGAATCCAAATGCACTGGACAGCAGGGCTCTCCTTGATTTTGATCACGTCAAAAATAGTTTGAAAGTTGACGATGAAGGTGAAATATTGGTTTATTGTCCTTGTCAATTAGCTGTTATATGGGTCTACAAGTTTCACTTTTTGAAGCAATTTTTGCAGAATTAAAAAGGATGGAATCAGATCCCACATATAATATAAATGTTACTGGGGATATCAAGCAGATGCTAAAGGAACTTGGCACTGAACAAGCAAAGGAAATTGCTCTGCATGGTGGCGGTGGAATCAAGGCAAAAAATGAAAGAGCTGCTGCACTTGAGGCTATATTGGCTGCAAGGTCACGCATAAAGGATGAGTCCAATGGGAATGGTGAGTCAGCCAAGAAGGCTTATAGTATTGTGGATGCTGCTTCTGCCTCTGTTCATGGAAGAAGTGCAAATGCTGCAAAGTCTGCTTCAGATGATAAAACAGCTGCTAGAATAGCTTTGCACATGGCGGGTGAGAGGACACCAGTGAATGCCAAGCTGGTTAGCATCTTTTTATTTGAAAAGACGCCTGATATTTTAGTCTTGGTTCTGACAGACAATACTTATGTCTTCTTTGTGAATGATCTGCAACATACTAACCATTACTTAAAGACAAGCATACCCCAACTTTACCCTTAGGTGTCTAGACTGAGCTTCCTATTTTCATTCAATTAGTGGGTGTTTTGTGAGAGTGACGAAGGTTAAGATGTTGGCTAAACAAAACTCTCTTTTTTTTGGTTGCTTTGGAATTACCCAATAAAATTGGACTCGAGTAATTGCAGAAAAAGGTGTAATTGTCCCTTTCATTGTTTTACTTCTGGGGTATAAAAAGAATGTAAAAAAATCATTCAATGCCAGATGCTTTTCTTGCCAACAGTAAATACAATTAGGCAAAACTCAAATGATAGCTGAAGAGTTGAGTCATCATTGGTAAATCAGCATGACATAGTATTTTGTTCTTCTGTGTGCTCCAGGTAAAGAGTCGTTTTACCACTGGTGCTGCTTCGCGGTCCTTCACTTCTACTGCTTTTGATCCTGTTACCCAAAATGAGTATGAATACATCAAAGTTGAGAAGAACCCAAAGAAGAAAGGCTATGTTCGCCTGCAAACAACACACGGTGATCTAAATATTGAGCTGCACTGTGATATAACTCCAAGAACATGCGAGAACTTCATCAGTTTATGTGAACGTGGGTATTACAATGGAGTAGCTTTCCACAGAAATATAAGGTACTCTAAGCTTATCTTTTACACCAAAACTAGGCGTAGAAGATCTTTAATGATTGGAATATGCTTGTTGACAAGGAGGATTGTGCTTTATATGATATACAGGAACTTTATGATTCAAGGTGGAGATCCCACTGGGACTGGAAAAGGGGGTGAGTCGATATGGGGAAAGCCCTTCAAAGATGAACTAAACTCTAAATTGCTTCATTCTGGAAGGGGTGTTGTTAGCATGGCCAACTCTGGTCCTCACACAAATGGTTCACAGTTCTTCATCCTGTACAAATCTGCAAATCATTTGAACTTCAAACACACAGTGTTTGGTGGAGTTGTAGGAGGTTTGACAACGCTTTCTGCCATGGAGAAGGTCCCTGTTGATGATGATGACCGACCTCTGGTTAGTGGTTCCTCTTTTAAGTCTCCTACTCATTCTGAGCTTTTGCTGTGTTTGATACAGGCAACATATGTTTCTAAATTCTTAGTTGTGTATACCAAACATTACCAGTCCCAAATTTGGCAAAGCCTTTTTTTTTTTTAACAACAAGACAGAGTCCTTTTATAGAATTTGAAAGTCAGATGTTTAACTTGTACAGTTGTTTGATTATTTTGTGTTTATCTTGTTGTCAAACTGCTAAATAGGTGGTGTTTAAATTTTTGGGCGCAATTCTTCCCTTGCCATTGACTTTTAATTTTCTTTCTCCTCCTGTTCCCTTGCAGGAAGAAATCAAGATAACTGAAGTAGAAATATATGTCAATCCTTATGCAGAATCTGATGAAGAGGATGAGAAGAAGAGTACTAATGAGAACAATGCTGAAGATGAAGAAAATGTTAGTCCTGGATCTGATATTGTTCAAGCTGTCTTGCGTCTGTATTTTTTCCCCCACTTCTACTATTTAAATGGCTTATTTATTTCTTTGCATTTCAGGATAAGGTTGGCTCATGGTACAGCAATCCAGGGACTGGAACTTCAGGGAGTCAAGGTTTGGGTGGTGGTGTAGGGAAGTACTTGAAAGCAAGGAATTCACAGGTTGAGTCTACTACTGCTGTTGACAGCAGTCAACCCGCGGTTTCTGTGACAAAGAAAAGAAAAGTAGGTGTCTCAACAGGAGAATATAAAAATTTTTCTTCGTGGTAAGAGTTGCAATAACTGCTAACCTCCCTAGACAACTGAATTTGCTTGATGGGTTTAGCCAATGTTGATACAGTTTAGCTGCGAGGATAATGGATGACTTGAACCCTGTAAATGCAGAAAGTCTGTATTTTATGGTGTATAATGATGCAATTGAGAGTATTTGTACAGAATTTGTAGTAGCAAAGTTTATAAAGACCTTGGTACTTGAGGCGTTTATTTTAGTTTGATGTTCCCAGTTTTGATGGGTTTTTAGGAACTTTTGGGTGGAGTCCTGATAATGTATTTCTTGCTTCCCATTTCTAGTAGCTGAGGTTGATTTAATTGGATGGGAAGTATAAATGGGGGATCTGTGGAATCAGTTGTGTGTGTTTAGTAGCCCGGACCTGGAGTATCTTGAAAAATGTTGCGGTGGTCCGGCCATCATGGAGCTGGAAGCATCATAAAGCACACAGCGGCTCTAGCAAAAGGTGATGAGAAACCAGCATGATTGGCCCAGCATTCCACGGAAGCATGGCGCTCGGAATTTCTTACTCCTTTGAGAGCCCATACTGATGCCTGCCGTTCCAGTTCCAGTTATCATGGACCGAACATAACCTGCATCTGCGTGCATACTTTCATTATTGGTGGCAAAAGCCGTGGTAGTGGGCCACCTGACTCGCCCTGGACCGAGAGCTTGTCTTACAAAGTTTGTACTACAAATGATGACTTCTGCAAAGCTTATCATTCAGTTCTCAGGGGCCTGTTGACGTACGTCGCTGTGGCTCATTTCTGTGTCTTCTTTTGCTTGGGTGTATTTCGGCTGTTGCTTCAACTTCAAATGTACATTGAGATTGGATGTATACGACCGAGTATGACAATTTCTTACCCTTTTAAGTTTGAATTGTTTGGATTCAATTAAACTTGCCTCTCGTTTCCTACCCAAAATAATAATTAAAAGAATGCCTCTTTTTTGGTCAATATTGATTAAATCGTGGACTTGCATATCTGATGACGGATGATTGTTTGTCCCGAGTTTTCAAGATATATGTGCTTTCTCCCACTCTTGTTCAAATTTTCTTCGTCAGAAATGTATTTAGATTTATTTAAGGCTTTACTTGGTTCTAAACTTTGCTTGGGGTGTTCTTTTGGGGGTTTATTTTTTGGGAATTTTTTTTGTTTGTTTTTGTTGTTTTGGGAAGGAAAAGAATACAAGCTCAATTCTCATTCTATTCTTATATTTTGGGAAATCGAGCAGAGTGATTTGAAAACAAAGAAGAGTTAATGCTGATACATACCCATAACCAGTAAAATATTCACGCTTGTCTATTTTTAGTGCTTTAGTGTCTTCATTCTACAAATTCCTTCATAGTTTCCTCATGGAATTTGAGCTTGTAAGTTTCATCACTGCTAAAGTCAGGAGCTCAAATCCGGTGATGTCTAAATGTGTTTTTTTTTTTTTTTTTTAAACCTAATACACACCTAGGTAGACAAAGGACTAAGTCCATAGACTGGTTTATCAGTCTTTGTTGGCTTTTGTAAAGGATTAGAAAATTGTTAACCCAACCTTACTTACTGGATTAAAGTCATTAAACTACTCGAAGTTTGAATGAAGAAGAAAGAGGTTAACATATACTTTTCAGTCCAACACAGGAAGACTATTATCGTGTTTGGAGTGGCGACGTTTTGTGCATACATTATTCTACAAGGAGATGTCCTTTTGAGGTAGATTAAGTTATAGTATTAAAAGGAAAAAATTGCAGTAGGACCAACAGATCCATTGAAACATCATCATTGATCATATACTCTACAAATCTCTTTTGTCATGACAATTTGCATGAGCGAGTTACTTCAGGAAAAGGATATTGGTCTAATGTGTATGGTCGCTGCGATTATAATAATGCTTCTTGATATGCTCTTTCAATAATCAAGGAATTTAGTACTTGGAACACCTCCAAAACGATATTCTTCTTGGGAACTTGACCGACCCTTGCGATGACCAGCTTGTCCTTTCTCTGCAGAGTGGAAGAGAGGGCAACACACACACACACACACACTCTCTCTCTCTCCCTCTCCCTGTGTTTCCACGGTCGACAATTTGTCTTCGAATCCACTCCAAGCCCTACTCCTCATTTCTCGAAAACGAACAGCAACAGTCCAAACGTGGAATTTTCTTCAATCATTGATGGATATAGCCACGAATTCGAAATTAAAGGAGTCAAGAAAAGGATTAAGTATGAGCTACTCCACTCCTCACAAACTATCCTTCCTTCTTATTCTACCCCTATTCTCTTCTACTATCCCTTTCCAACTTCTCGACTCTTTTCAATCCATTGAATCTTGATCTCCAGTTGATAAATTTGTGCATTAAACACACAAAATAGCCCACAAGAAAAATGTCAAATGAGTAACATTTAGGCAAGATATTTATGTAAAGTACTTATCTCTTTTAGAAATTGTTTACAAAATTTTAACCTTCTTCATTTTTCTAGGTAACACTTCCTAGTCCTATTTTGAACCCAATGCTAGTGAGCTTGTGTGATCCTGTTCATTTGATTATATTAATTTGGCGCAGGCGTTACTCTCGAATCATCACAACAAGCGTGGACGGTGATGCGCTAACTAACGTCCATCTTGGAGACATCTGGTTTACTCAAGGCAGATGCAGGCGAAGATAAAATGCCTGTAAAATTAGTCTCGTATATTCATTGAGAGATGTGGACTTTGTAGTTTTCTAATCTACTTAATTAACAAGGGTTAAGTGATATGTTGGGGTATGACGTCCATATCAAATTCCACAAATTGAACCAACCAAACCGCTTCTTTTCAGAAGATTTGTAAGATTAATTATTTCAGAACACAGAAATTGCTTCAAAGCTCATCGCATCAAACTAACTTTTACTACTACTACTACTACTTGCACAACTATTGCACAATTTGCTAATAGTGGAATGACACAATTAACATGGCTCCCAGGGTTGGCTCGGCTGGTGTTGGGGAAGTCTCTTTAGGTCCTGGCATCGGGCGGTCGCGGTTCGACTTCTGTTTGGGCACAAGCACAGTGGGATTAGTCGGGGCCGGATTATTACTCCGTCGAATCCCGGATACCCACTGTGTTAGTAAAAAAAAAAAAAGAATGAAACAATTAATATTATTATTATTCATCTATATCTGATACCTATCTAGAGCAGGCAGCAGCTGCCTACTAGCTAGGTAGCCTGGTGGTTTCAAGTGTGCTTGGTTATGGAACATGATAGTATATACGTATGGGGTTCAGAGAAAAGTGAAGATGGGGAGCATGCCCTGGATATAGAAGAAGAATGCAAATATAGTATTTTGACGCCAACTTTAACATATAGTTATATGATACAAGCGTGTGGGTTTTTGAAGCGGTATGAGGAAAGGAAAAAGCAGGGAATTTTTGGCAGACTTTGGAGAGGGATCAGGAGGCAAGGAATATCAATTGTGAAGCGAGAAATGGTATGGCTGTGTTGGGATGGTGGTGGGTTGGATGATGATGGTGCACGCCGGCAGCTTTTCTCATGTCTCTTTCTCCATTTCTATCTCTCTCCTCTCCCCACGAAGAACCATTTCTCACGCCTGCTCCACTGAATAATATTTATTATTACTCCATCCCTAAGCTATCAAAAGCTAATCCACTAAAGCCCCGTTGGAGGGTATGGTCATTTCTCGACTCTTGCTAGCTAGTATCGTTTTTTCCTTTTTTTTTTTTTTTTTTTCCTATTCTTTTGTCAGATAAATTCCACAGCAGAACGCATCATGCTATTATCTACTCCGTGCCCACTTCTACGTTTTAATTTACCAAGAATTTCTATTTTAGTCAAATCCCTGTTAAATTTACAAAAAAGAAACTCCAATAACATAAACTAGAAATTAAACAAAGAAACCACCCCACCACCATTACTGTACTCCATTCCTATCATCGATTCCCCAAAAGAAGAAAAGCTAATTTTTGCTCATCAGTTAGATTCTCCCCTCCTCTCTCTTTCGTCTTTCCCCACCCGACCCGTCCTTGCTCCAACATATTATTCCTCTCTCCAATTATGTTTATGTCCGAGAAAAGCTAACTAATTCTTAGTAGCTAAACTCCAACTTGAAGATCCTCCTTTCACATTTCTTCTCTACTCTACTCCAATTCAGCGTTTTTAAACGCAAAACCAACTCCAACATCTGCTCCTCGTATCCGATACTCCCAACAGAATCTCGTTCAAAAAAAGCAAAGAAAACGGGCGTTTTAATTTTTGATGTGCTGTCTTCTGTTAAATGGATACTTTGTTTAGACTTGTCAGCCTCCAACAACCATCTGATCAGTCCTTCAACTCCAGCAGAACTTCAAGCAGCTCTAGATCTTCTAGACAAAACCACCATTACAACCAACATCAACAACAAGAAGAAGAAGAAGAATGCTTCAACTTTTTCATGGATGATGAAGACTTCTCCTCTTCTTCTTCCAGGCCGCACTACAATCCTTACCAGCAGCATCAGCAGCAAACTTCAAGCACCCCAACCCCTACCACCACTAACACAAGCAGCACCCCCACTCACCATCCCTATGAATCAGCTGATTTTTCTTTCTCCCCTGCCAGGGACATAAACCAAGAATTTGCTTCTTCGTTTTCTGGCAAGTGGGCTTCCGATATTCTCCTCGAAACAGCCCGAGCCATTGCGGATAAGAACAGTTCTCGCGTGCAGCAGCTCATGTGGATGCTCAATGAGCTCAGCTCACCCTACGGCGACACTGATCAGAAGCTCGCCTCTTATTTCCTCCAGGCCTTATTCAGCCGCATGACGGACTCCGGAGAGCGATGCTATCGTGCCTTAGTATCTGCGTCAGAAAAAACTTGCTCTTTCGAGTCAACTAGAAAAATGGTTCTGAAATTTCAAGAGGTTAGTCCGTGGACAACTTTTGGACACGTTGCTTGTAATGGGGCGATCCTGGAGGCTGTTGAAGGAGAGCCTAAGTTGCACATAATTGATATTAGCAACACGTTTTGCACGCAATGGCCTACTCTTCTAGAAGCCCTAGCAACACGAAGCGACGAAACCCCGCATCTCCGCCTCACGACGGTGGTGGTCAGCAAGGCTGGCGCCGCCGGAGGAGGAGCCGCGGGCGTGCAAAAAGTCATGAAAGAGATAGGTAGTAGAATGGAGAAGTTTGCTAGACTTATGGGCGTGCCCTTCAAATTTAACGTGTTACATCATGCAGGCGATTTATCCGAACTAAATTTATCTGAATTGGATATTAAGGAAGATGAGGCACTGGCCATCAACTGCGTAGGAGCATTACACTCGGTTTCAACGCTCGGTAATCGTAGGGACTTTCTCATTTCCATTTTTAGAAGTTTGCAGCCTAGGATCATGGCTGTTGTGGAAGAAGAAGCTGATCTTGATGTAGGATTTGATGGTTACGATTTTGTCAAAGGTTTTCAAGAATGTTTGAGATGGTTTAGGGTTTACTTCGAATCATTGGACGACAGTTTCCCGAAAACGAGTAACGAACGTTTGATGTTGGAGCGCCAAGCTGGACGCGCCATAGTTGACCTCGTGGCGTGCCCCGCTGCCGAGTCGATAGAGCGGCTAGAGACCGCCACGCGCTGGTCACATCGCTTACATGCATCCGGCTTTGGACCCGTTTCGTTTAGTGACGAGGTGTGCGATGATGTACGCGCCCTTTTGAGGAGGTACAAGGACGGTTGGTCAATGGCACAGTGCAATGAGTCGGCCGGAATTTTCTTGTCCTGGAAAGATCAGCCGGTGGTTTGGGCTAGTGCATGGAGGGCCTGATCATGATGGTGACTCTCTCACTAAAGAAAATTTTGGAAAATGGTGGTGATCTGCGCACGTGGGAGAGGGGTCTTATGGCACGTGCCTGGCGTGGAGTTTGGGGGTGGAGAAGA